TATCTCGTCATAGCAATATAGCGCAAATCTTACCCACTGTCAATCTCCGATGACGATGATCACCATTTAAATCATTCAAACTTAAAATAAAAAAACATTCACACATATGTTTCTATTAGGGGAAGTTGAAGAGTTCGTGCGTTGTCATGGGTGTACAAGTATGCTAATCGGCTCACAACGTGTAAATATGTTATATTTAGGTCCTGGTGAGCTTTGCCTCACGAGGGGGGTATCGCTTGTAAATGTAATAGCATTTCCGACGTTGAGAAAGGTTAGCGTCCTTTTGTGACGGATCTGATGAGATAGTTGCGTCATTCTCTGAAACTGCTTGTCATTCTGATAAGACGGTAAATTGTTGATGTGACACTAGTTCTATTTGCTTAAGGGTTACGCGTTTTAAATACGGGGGGTGAGCTTGAATATTGTTTATTGTAACTATTCTGTCAACATTATTCAGTCGATTTTTACTTTTGTGTTTTTCAGCCCACCCACAAGTTCTCAGAGGGAGGACCCTTTACAGTGACCGTGGCAATGCGTTATCTGTATCGTAGTGGTCATAATTGGACGTTCTTTATCCTGACGGTGAGAGGGGGGTCATCAATGCAGTGGTCTGCACGCAAATCACGTACAAATGTGCGTGCTACATTATTGTATACGTCAAAATAAAATAACTAGATGCCCCTCATCCTACAGTGGGGGAAGAAAGATAACAGCTTTTATGTCCAATGCAGGTTATATATTAACTAGGAAATATATTATCATTATCATTTATTCAAATAAAATATTAAATATTACGCTAAGTTGATTATTAATTAAACAGTATGGTCCAATTACAAGTTGATTAGAATCAGCGTTATATGTCAGAAAACCAGTGTGCCTGCAGTGGTTATCGTACGCATAAGTGGGAAAGCGTTGTGCGTGGCGAGGGTATTATGACGACGTTAAGTCACAGTGATCTGATCCACACGTAAATGAATCTATATCGGTCGAAGTCTGAAATAGATATGTGGTGAAAGGTGAGGTCGTTGACGTCCTTATCTAGAGGTCACGCGCTGTAATCTCACAGAGTAATATAACGAAGTTATATACATACACACACGGCGTGCCGAACGGTCTGGAAGGAGCATCATACATGGTACAGTTTTTAGACGATTTTTAGACGGGATCAAATCATTTAAACACCAACGTTTCAAGAGGTTTCAGTCATAAAATACTTTATGTAGAACCATTATAAATGTGCATGGGGAGTAAAGTCCACTCATACTCGAGCCTATATAAGCCTAACAGGACTAGGATATTTATTGGACAGCATTTAACATTTAACAGGATCACCTGTAATTAGAATAATT